GGGGGGGGGGGGGGGGGGGGGGGGGGGGGGGGGGGGGGGGGGGAGGTCAATCTCCGGAACTATTTTCAACTATGACCTAATAGTAAAAAAATGCTTGACCGGAGGAAAGCACGGCGATATGCATATTCTACCATCAATGCACCCTAGTTCCCCACTTTTAAAATAACATGCGACTTCCTGGCATGAGAATTGTCGCAGGCGGGTTACACGAGCAGCAAATCATAAGGAAAGTTTGGCAAAAACTCAACCGCGCTCGGTTCCTACGATATACAGTAAAAATAAAAAAGACAGGCACACGCTTGAACAACCAAACAACCACAGTGCTGACACCGTTTGTTGAAAGCGAATTGAATAGCACACGCCAATGCTCATGATTCACTGCGGAGAAAAGAAACCAAACCAACCCCAGGGGTGAACTCCGAAAGGGCAAAAACGCACGCATACATCAGGACCGACAAGCAAACTCACAGCGGGTGGCGGCGGCGGCGGCGGAACCCCCACCCCTCCTTGCATCAAGGCAAGCTGCTCCTGCATCTTGGTGATCTGGCGCTGCATCATCAAGACCTGCTGCTGGTGCTGCGGGTCAGCGACCGGGGTGACGGCAGGGGCCGGAGGGGGCGGAGGCGCCACCGGCGCCGGCATCTCCGGCTTAGGTTGCGCCCGTTCCGCTTTCGAAGGAGCCCGGGCCTTCTTGCTCGTGGATCCGCCGCCGCCACCGCCCCCTTGCCCTCCGTGAGCACCGCCCCCGTCCGAACTCTTGCGCTTCCTATCCCGGTCCGGCATTTCCTCATCGCTGTCGTCGGAACCCCCCAAGTTGCCGGCGCCTCGTGTGCTACTGCTGTACGGGTGGTGGTTGTTGTTGTTGCTGTTGCTGCTGCTGCTGCCGCCGCCTCCCCCCGACTTTTTTCGCTTCGAAGGAGGGTCGTCCAGGCCCGGCCCGAGCTCCTCCATCTTGGCATCGAACACGTGCAACAGGTGCCTCGCAGCAATGTGGACATCGCTCGTCTCGTCGGAGTTGTAGCGACAGGCGTTGCTGAAAACAAGACGGACTTCGTGGGCGAACTCGACCGTATTCTGCAAGCAGAGGCAGCAGAAAACAGAGGCGGGGGGCACACGGTTGGAGGTGTTCGCTTTAGAATCTCAATCAACAAAAAAAAAACGACAGGAAATGCGAGACACGGAAGCACGAAATGTCTACGCTTACGAGCCCCAGAGGCGAAAATTGCCCAGCTGCGTTGAATAAGAGCAAGGCGGGCATGGATCGCGGTGCAGACGGGTGGTCATCCAGCCGCACGGCACTGACATTCAGTTGGTTCGGCCGCCGTGCACGACCGCTGTCGCGCGCCGGATGTACACGACAACAAGCGGTCACCGAAACTCGCGAAAATCGTTAATCCCCGGCGCGGACTCTCAACTGCTGTGCACCACCTACAGCAAACATTGCAGTCTGGATACCACCGTAGCAGCCGTACTTTGTTGGATAGCCACATATCAAGATCAGGCTGAGTTTCGGAGGGGGGGGGGGGGCGT